GCGGGTCCTGCCAGAATGGAAGATACGGAGGCGTGGACCTAGGGCTGTCACTCGGTGTGGGCCGTGGCGAAGCTCAGTGACGGCCCCTAGCGTGCTGGAAGCCCCGGGTTCCATCCCCAGCACCAAAAAAGTAAGAAAAAGTATAGGTGACTCCTGTTGGCCTATTCCCTCGGCAAAGATGATAAAACATTGTGCTTCCCTCCGACCCTTTTTTTCTCCAACAGTGCAAGGGAGATGAAGCCCAGGGCCTGCGTGTGCACACGGCCCGTTAGGGGAGTACTAGTGAGCAAGTTAGAGACTTAGGCTCTATTTCCTTTTTGCTTTTTCGGTTTTTTGAGACGGGGTCTCACTATGTAGTTGAGACTGACCTGGAACTCACTATGTAGCCCAGGCTGGTCTCGAACTCACAGCGATTCTCCTGCCTCAGCCTCCCCAGTGCCGGGATTACAGGCGTGCGCCACCACACCCAGCTTAGGCTCTATTTCCAATACAAATTGAAAAAGCTCAGTAGAAATACCTGGGTTCAATTCCCATTACCTCCAAAACAAAACATCAAAAAGGGGTAAGCGTGTAAAACATCAAATTTACTCATAAATATTGACGTTTACCTTCGGGTAGTAAGAGAATACCATATTCTCAAGCACAGAGGGAACGTTGCCAGTCCAAGTTTCTGCGTACACCAAGGATTTGGTCCTTTTTGAGTATTACTGTACCAGTTTAACCATTCACCTTAAGGACCTCTGATTTAATTCTAGTTTTGGGCTGTTTTAAATAAAACTGCTATGCACATCTGTGTTTTTATTGGTACCGGGGATCGAACTGGGGTCCTTGCGCTTGCGAGGAAGGCGGTGAAACCACTGAACTAAATCCCCGGCCCACATCTGTGTTTTTAAACGAACAGACATTTTCATTTCTCTGGGGTAAATGCCCAGTATAGTTGCTTGCTCACACCACAGTGCCCAACAAGTCTGGCTGCATCTGGCTTTCATTCCAGCGTTGAGCCCACTGCTGACTGTTCAAGAATCGCCTTCAGCCTCTCCAGGGAGACAGGATTCAGAGAAGTCTCAGCACCCAGCCTCATAGGAGGCTGCTCTGAAGCGGAGACAGAAATGAGATTAAGGACAGACTGTCCTTGGCTGGAAAAATCCTCACAAATAGTTTAGTAAGTCAAGTGCTTTGCAAATGAGGAGACGACCTGACAGAACAGGAAGCACGTGTAAGAAGCTCCTCTTCTCAGAAGAGCACAGTCTGATATCGGAAACCCAAGGGCTCACTCAGAAAGCTGGGTCAGGATGGTTGCTGGTCCTGGAGGACAAACGAAACCTACTGAAATAATGATTTGGCTTGGTTGGGTTCAGTAGATGAAGTATTTTTAAAGACAGAACTGAGAAATTCACCCAGGTGTTCCAGTATTTTGTGAACACCTACTATAAGGCAGGTGCAGATCCACACTTTGGAGGTAGTGTAGTGGGGGGCGGGAGGAAATGCCTGTCTGGCTAGGGCTGACATTCCAGAGGGAAGAGGCAGATGGTAGAAAATCACATTAGGGGAAATTAGAGCAGGAAAGGGGTAGGAAACAGGGAAAGGCGGATGACTTTCAGAAGGGTGTAGGCATGACATGTGGAGCAAAAGCCTAAAGTAGCCCAAGAAATGCTCCCCCAAGTAGGAATCGTGGGTAGTGCAGACACTGAGAGCATGGCCAGAGGCAGAGCCACTATGGGAGGGCGCAGGCGGGAGTGGGGGTGTTGGACAAATCAGGGACATGACATTAAAAAACAAAGCCAAACCAGGATCCCTGTAATTAATGTGAAAGAAAATTTTAAGACTTAATAGAAGTTAAAAAGATCCACCCCACTGCTGTGATAAAATGTTGCATAGAATTTGAAATAAAATTTAGCTACATGTATCACTTTTCCAGTTAATTGCTTTTGAGCCCTTGTAGAAACAGCTCTGTCCCCTACTTGGGCCCGCTCTCTCTGGATTCTGTTCCTTAGATCTGTCTTTCCCTTCTCTAACACCAGAGTCTTGACTTCGGTAGTTAGAGGTCTTATTGAGTAGTGCGATGCCCTCTTATTATTAATTAGGTGGTCTGTATCTACAATAGCCCTGTTCAGGCTCTGGTGAGAATTACTGTTCAATAGAAAATCAGTCAGGGTAATTAATAGCTTTATCTTGTTGACTTCCCACTAACATAAGCTATCTTTGATTTCTTTTACAGATCCTTTACTTACTTTGTTAGATTTATGCTTTATTTTGGGGAGAGCTACTATAAATAAAATTGTATTTGACTTTCTAATAAATGTATATTCTAGGTATAAGCATGTTTTAAAAATAAGTCCAACTGTCCCATACTTATTTTAATGTAATCATTATCTCACTGTTCAAACTTTCTAAGGTTGTAAATGAACTAAAATATTTTATACAAAAAAATTGATCATTCTTTGCAAAGAAAAATAACTCAAAAATTCAAAATAAAAAAGCCTGTAGTGCTCTCTTTTGGAGCCAGAGTATGAGGTTATGACTCCAGGGCTAAGAGGAATGGCTTTTCTCATTCATACCAGCTAACCTATCTCTGAACTTGGAGCATGCTGGGTGACGTGAGGGGTAAGGCTGCCACAGGTGACACAGGCGACTCCACTGCACCGGAAGATGACCGATCTTGACTAGCAAAGGTAAGCACGACTTGCTGCCACAAACAGAGAGGGAGCTGTCTGGGACCCAGGGGATTCTCTGAGATGGCTCTTGTTATTGTTATCCCCCTCCCTTCTGCCAAAAGTCAGGACTTCCGAGTCAGGATCCTTTAATCATTATGGAAACAAACTACAGATTAACTGTCCCTCAGAAGATGCATAAATCACTTTAAAAAAAAAAGTTCAGTGAATCCAACTACAGGAATTAGTGCAGATGGTTGCATAACATTATGAATATATAGAAATCACGTCTCCATTTTAGACTAGATAAAACGGTAATAACATAAACATAATATTTATCATTTTAAGGGTATGGCTTAGTGGTATTAAGAAAATTTACAGGTTATCAAACTACTACTATCACCAAATCCCAGAACTTTCTTGTACTGCAAAACAAAACTCTGTGCCCATTAAATAAGTTCCCATTTTTCCCACTGTCCCAGCCCCTGGCAACCACTGTTCTGCCTTCTGTCTCTCTTAATGCGACCATGCTCAGAGTGAAATTGTACAGTAACGGTCCTTTCTCATTTCACTTAGCACAATGTCTTCAGTGTTCATCCACATTGTACCACAGGCTAGAATTTCTATACTTTAAATAGGCTGAGTAATATTCCCTTGTATATAATACCACATTTGTTTATCTGGTCATCAGTCCATGGGTACCTGGGTAGTTTCCTCCTAATGGGAATAATGCTACTAAAGACACGGGTGCATACATATCTGTTCTTGATCCTGCTTCATAAAATGAAATGTTACCTGTTTTTGAAGGGAGATTTTTAAGTGAACATAAGATTTTTTTTGCCTGAAAATACACACATCTTTTACATTAGCTGAAGGATTAACAATTCAATTTAGTTGAAAGCTACCCAAAGAAAACCCAAAAGAGCAATCACAATTTGTTTAAAAAAAAAATCACAAAAGACATAAATTTATCCATTGCAAATTTATTATGCATTAGGAAGCTTAACCTAAAAACCAACAGCAGTAAAAAGATATGTTATCTCTGTCCATGACTGAACAGGTTTCAAAATATATTTTCTTTTAAATGTACTCAGTCAGTACATAATCCTTTATAAAAGTTGTATATATTTTTTCTGTCAATACCTTCATTACATTTATAAATACAAGATTTACACAGCACCCCATCAAAAAAATTAAAACCCTTACAAATATCTACATATATTTCATACCTATAAAACTTTCAAAGGAGTGCTTTGTTAAATTGGAAGGCCCTAGTTAATGGTCCATTTACTGTGCAGCAAAATACATATAAATCTGCAAAGTTGTCTTTGTCCATAAAACATCTCAAAAAATTAGCAAGACACTTACAGTGAAACTGGACTTCACTAAACCCTCATATTTTATAAAGGAATTTAATGTGCATATCCCATGAGATTCAGAAGTCTGATAGAGATTGAGATAAAGATTAATTGAAAATAAATGCATACTACATAGCAGTTAAGGCAGGCGTGTGATGGAGAAAAACTGAGGAGGAGGACACGGGAGATGTGGGAAGGAGCAAATAGTAATAATGTCTTACGCGAGAACTGACGTATAAACTCCACTGGTGGACAGTAACTAATTCTCAGCCTCTCAGGAATGCTCAAGTTATTAAAAACTTTCTTAGAAGTTTAGTCCTCCATTGCTTTGTTGTTATTAGAAGGCTTTTTTTTTTTTTTTTTGAGACAGGTAGTCTTGCTGTGTTGTTCAGGCTGGCCTTGAACTCACAATATTCCTGCCTCAGCCTCCCAAGTAGTTGGGATTACAGGTGTGTGCACCACTACACCCAGCTAGACGAGATTTTATTTTGTTTTCTTCTGTAAAATCACTGTGGATCTGACCAGGATGCTAGGTGCACTAATCTGATTTGCTCCTTTAACATGATTTCAATTTATAAGCAAGATTTCCTTCATCTGCTAAAGGTGATCATTAGTCAGTATTATTACTATTTATTCTAGACAAGCATAGGAAGTAGAAAAATCAAAGGGGGTGTAAAACTATAGTTTTCTGTTTGACCTTTGGACAAAGGCAACGGATCCCTGATACTGAGTGGTAACTCTTAAGAGTGGCCACTCATCAATACCTGTGGGCTAAAAGGGTACCATCCAGAGGAGGAGGAAGGAAAAAAGCAAGAAGGGAATCTTTACCTGAAATCTTGCCCAAGATGGCAGCTCCACTACAATCCTGCACCTTCTAGTGAAGAGTGTAGAAAGAGCACTGTCTTTCTTACTCCAGTTACTAAAGGAAAGCCTTTTTTTTTTTGAGTCAGGGTCTCATTGTTTAGTCCAGGGTGGTCTTGAACTTGCTCTGTAGTCCAGGCCAGTCTTGAACTTGTGATCCTCTTGCCTCAGCTTCTTGACTGCTTGAATTACAGGCATGTGTCACTCTGCCCAGCAAAAAGCCATTTTTTCTGAGAGATATGACCTTTTTTAATTGATATTCAAAGTTGGGATTCCAGATAACCTTGACAGCGGCACACTATCTGCAGAGTATTTCAAACCTTACCTTGTTCTAACATAGAAACAGAAAAAGAATGGAAAGAAAGAACAAGAGGCGGGAGAGATAGGGGGTAGAAGGAAGAAGGAATCACATATCAACCTGGCCCCTTCAGCACCATGAAGTCTCCATGGGGTGTGGCTCCCCTGAAGGCTCTGAGAGTTGACATCTGCAGAACTCCTCTTCTCCAGGTTACAGCTCAGTACTCTGACTCCCAGGTTCCTCAAAGGAGGAAAGTTCCCAGATGCTGTTGTCTTGCAGCAGTGGTTCAATGTCCTCATCACTGCCCTGTTCTGGGGTGTTGGTCAGGCTACCACCAATGCTGTTGCTGTGTTTCTGAGCTCCACTGGCTTTACGGTATTCAGGGATGAATAAGGCAACCAGAAAAGATATAAGAACTATACACGCTCCAAATAAAAATGGTGGGCCTGGGATGACAGCTCCCTGACGGATGTGGAAAATAAGACAAAGACTCTGGTTAGTCTTTTCAACCTAAAGAAGTATACCACCTAAAAGTGAATCATTTTCTCATAAGCAGCTTATAGAATTTCATTACATAGTGAGCTAATTCTAATAGAACTTGGTCTTTAGAATATAACAGAGGGCAACTAATCAGGACTGTTTTTGGGTACCACTTCTAAACAGTTTACCCCAATGTGAAAGCCTATAAACTGTTTATCTGTAAGCTGATTCTATGATCTAAGATTATGCATTTATGCACACTGAACATTAATTTTAATTTTGTACTCATTATCTAAATATCACTTCTCAAAAAAATGGAGAAAGCACCTGAGCTCAATGTGTAGCTGGGTTTTAAGGTCATTTAATGAGTTATTTAATCTGAGGTTATTAGCCAGCAAATAACATTCTGATCACATAGTGTAGGTAAAAACAGAATACGAAGGGTATTTAGCTCAGTGGCACTGTGCCTGTATTGCAAGCAAGAGGTCATGAGTTCGATCCCTGGTAACAAAACAAAACAAAACAAACAAAAACAAAGAACGTGAAATTAAAACAAATCCTTTAACTAAGATATTAAATCTCTAAAATGAATCCTCTGTGATCCTAGGAAAACATAAACAGAGCTTACTACTGTAAAATAAAACAGTAATATACAAATGATGCTCTCCAAAGTTAAGGTAAAAAGAACTGCTACACTTGGATTTAACCACTGTTACAAAACTAGAAATCATCCAATTACCTGTAGGGCACCACTGCCAGAATTCAATTCTGGTCCCAACTCGGTCAGTTCAACATGGAACATGTAGAATATGAAGCCATACAGTGCTGGCCCCAGGCCATTACATAGTCCTCTTATTCCAGTTATGATTCCCTGGGCAACTCCTAAATCAGAACCAAGAAACAGGAATCAGTCTTCTCAGAAAAGAACCTCAAGATGTGGAACTTCAAGATACTTCTGCATGTGTGACAGGCCCCCAAGTTGGATCCCCACCTAAGCAGACCCACTACCTCAATCCACAGGAGCACAAAGGTAACAGAAAGGGCCAGGGATTTAGCTCAGTGGTTCTGCCGCTTGCCTTGCAAGAGCAAGGACCCTAGTTAAATCCCTGATACAAAAAAAAAAAAAAAAAAAAGATAACAGGAAGCCAGCAGCTGCCCCACTGCTCCTACCACCACCCTGTTTATCAGCCACCCACAGGCTCATCACCCTTGGGACTCTAAAATTGTCTACCCTCTCAAACAGTGCCCCTCCCCTACCTAAACTCCCCTGTAACAACCATGCACACCCTCCTCAGTGCCGACTGCCTTTTCACTCTTGGCCCATCTGCAACCAGATGGCAATAAACTCACATGTTCCTTAGACTTTGCCTGCCTCAGTGGTCTCAATCATGTATCGGTCTGACCTTACAATGTTGGCTTAACACTGATATTTGTATGTATATGCATACATTTTTATGTATAAAAATAAAAAAGCCAAAGACAGTCCACGCCATCAATGACAACACAGTCCTATAGGACTTCTCAAGACTACACTTCAGACATGGGGCATCTTCCTTGTGCTCAGTTACTATACCTTGGGGTAACACACAGAATCTGTGGTCTTAAAATAACAGTGTTTAAGGAACCCTTCTCCATTGTTGGTGGGAGTGCAGACTGGTGCAACCACTATGGAAATCAATATGGAGATACCTCAAAGAGCTGGGACTAGAGGTTCCATTTGACCCAGCCATCCCTCTGCTGGGTATCTTTCCAAAAGAATGAAAAGAATCATATCACAGTGATATAGGCGCATCAATGTTTATAGCAGCACAGTTTGTAATAGCTAAAACTTGGAAAATGCCCATTTGCCCATCAGTTAGAAACTGGATAAAGAAGATGTGGTTTTTCTATAAAGTGGAATACGACAGCCATAAAG